TCTCTATCCCGTATTCGTCGAACACAAGAACCTCGCTCGCGAATGCGCCGACATTTTCCCATCGTTTACTCGCCGAACAGCTGATCCGATCGTTTATTTCGCGATGAGAGTTTCTCGATTCGGAGCGGAGTTTTCCGCGATCGTGACGAATAAAGTAATTAAGCGGCGGCGAGAACGCGCTGCCTTTTTCATCTCGTTCATCCCCGTTAATGAAGTGATTTGAATTGGAAATTCCGCGCCGGTGGAGGCGGATTAATGTCGCCGATTTGGTACCGCGCGGTCAATCGTACCCAGCCGTGTCGGCATTTCTGCGGTTTTGCGATCCATAGATCATAGGATACCACGTGTCAGCCGTTTCGCATTCGCACGCGCGAGTGATTGAATTACACGGCCGTCGCCTCGTGATAGCCCGACGATATCGCTTCTTTCGGACGATTTATCGAGGCTCGATCAAAGCGGAGAATTTGAATTGCGATCGGCTCGATTGCAATCGTAGATTCGTAACTTCTTGCGCTTCGTTCGCGCGTTCAAATTCCGTGGTATATTCGGCACGATTGAAATATAAAGTGGTTTTTTTATATGGAGTTCCGTGAACAATTTTGAACACGCGACCGGCTGCCACGCGAGCGTTTGCAATAATGTTCGAAAGAAGTGTTACTTCGAACGCGAGCAGACTAAACAGAGAGCGATGCTTCGTGTGTCCGCACATCGGTGCATTTGGATCTCGCGCCGGTCGGATGTAATTCACCGCGTAACTTGCTCATGCACCGGACACATTTCAGACAAATTGGCTATTAGTTCTCTCAGATAAGAAGATTCATGCGCTTCGCGGAACCGTGAAGTTGTTACGTGGATAGCTGCGATGTTACTGTGAATATTCTTGCGCGCACGTATCAGAGAGTGAAAGCTAATTATTTCTAACACAAAAAGGTGTACAAAAGAATGGGACTGTTGTGCGAGATTCTTTTCTTTGATTGCTATGGATAATGCATCGAGTTTTTTCAAAGACAATTCTTCAGATACGATGTTCCAAGAGTAATTTTCCAAGTGCAATTTTTCAAGTGCAATGTTTCAAATGCAATGTTTCAAGTGCAATGTTTCAAATGTAATTTTACAAATGCAATGTTTCAAGTGCAATTTCTCAAATACATTGTTTCAAATGCAATGTTTCAAGTGCAATTTTTCAAATGCAACTTTTCAAATGCAATGTTTCAAATACAATGCTTCAAACGCAATTTTACAAATGCAATGTTTCAAGTGCAATTTTTCAAATGCAACTTTTCAAATGCAATGTTTCAAATACAATGCTTCAAACGCAATTTTACAAATGCAATGTTTCAAGTGCAATTTTTCAAATGCAACTTTTCAAATGCAATGTTTCAAATACAATGCTTCAAACGCAATTTTACAAATGCAATGTTTCAAGTGCAATTTTTCAAATGCAACTTTTCAAATGCAATGTTTCAAATACAATGCTTCAAACGCAATTTTACAAATGCAATGTTTCAAGTGCAATTTTTCAAATGCAACTTTTCAAATGCAATGTTTCAAATACAATGCTTCAAACGCAATTTTACAAATGCAATGTTTCAAGTGCAATTTTTCAAATGCAACTTTTCAAATGCAATGTTTCAAATACAATGCTTCAAACGCAATTTTACAAATGCAATGTTTCAAGTGCAATTTTTCAAATGCAACTTTTTAAATGCATTGTTTCAAATGCAACTTTTCAAGTACAATGTTTCAAATGCAATGTTTCAAATGCAATTTTCCAAATACAATTTTCCAAATATGTACAATTTTTCAAACGTCAAACCGTCTCGACATTTACTCTCGAATCGATTGAAACGTTTCATAAAACTCGCACATTCTAAATATTTAATATTCAACAAACGATAAGTGTAATAAATTACATAGCGGCAAACTGTCGTTCCTCTTCTCATTACCTTATCGAGCAATTTCACTGATAATTACTTCGCGTGATTGAACACATCCCTCTTTCAATATCCTATTTTTCTTTTTAGCCAATGTAATAATAATAAAGTAAATCAAATATTATCAAATTGTGAGCTTCCTTCAGTATCATTTCATCGAAACACTTTCCCGATAATCGACTCCGCAGAAAAGTCACATTATCGTACTACAAAAGTCCTCGTTTCAACGTCGAAACCCACTCGGCGTCTCATCAATTTCGTTCGGTAGACGGTGCCGGCAACAAAAGACAGTCTCCTTTGCCTATTCGCAAGACTTTCCACTCGATCCCCTTTAAATGATACCTCCTCGTCCGACGAGCACATTCCCATCTCTTTATCCTTCTCGGGGATCAAAAAGATAACGACCCCGTCGTCGTCAATTTATGCAGTAGCGATTGTGTGCCTGGATATGGAGCCATGTTTCGACAAAATAAACGATGGTCCAGGAATAAATGGAAACTCGCGGGATGCCCCGCCGTTCGTTCCGCTCCCTGCAGGCCGTGTTTTTGCTCCTTTCCGGTCACTGTGTGCTCTGCTCTTTGTCGGGGAGCTTATTAACGAGATGCTCGGGCCGATCCAACGGAGTTGTTTTTCGAGAGAAAAGGGTCCACCAGCAACGCAGACGGCCCCGATAAAAATGATTGAAACGCAAACACAGCCGGATCTTCTTCTTTACGGAGAATTCCGGGCACCGCGGTGTCCTCGCTGCCTCGAATTCGTTTCGTCTCTCTAAAACGGCGCGCTTCTTATTCGTCTCGTCTCTCTTAAAGGGCGCGTTTCTTTCTTCGTTTAGACTCTCTAAAACGACGCGCGCCTTATTCATTTCGTTTTCCCAAAACGGCGCGTTTCTTTCTTCGTCTCGTCTCTCTTAAAGGACGCGCTTCTTTCTTCGTTTAGACTCTAAAACGGCGCGCTTGTTATTCATTTCGACTCTCTAAAACGGCGCCCGTCTTATTCATTTCGTTTTCCCAAAACGGCGCGTTTCTTTCCTCGTTTCGTCTCTTTTAAAGGGCGCGCTTCTTACTCGTTTCAACTCTCTAAAACGGCGCGTTTCTTTCTTCGTTTGGACTCTCTAAAACGGCGCGCTTCTTACTCGTTTCGACTCTCTAAAATAGCGCGTTTCTTTCTTCGTTTGGACTCTCTAAAACGGCGCGCTTCTTACTCGTTTCGACTCTCTAAAATAGCGCGTTTCTTTCTTCGTTTGGACTCTCTAAAACGGCGCGCTTCTTACTCGTTTCGACTCTCTAAAACGGCGCGCGTCTTATTCATTTCGTTTTTCCAAAACGGCGCGTTTCTTTCTTCGTTTCGTCTCTCTAAAACGGCGCGTTTCTTTCTTCGTTTAGACTCTCTAAAACGGCGCGCTTCTTACTCGTTTCGACTCTCTAAAACGGCGCGCGTCTTATTCATTTCGTTTTTCCAAAACGGCGCGTTTCTTTCTTCGTTTCGTCTCTCTAAAACGGCGCGTTTCTTTCTTCGTTTAGACTCTCTAAAACGGCGCGCTTCTTACTCGTTTCGACTCTCTAAAACGGCGCGCGTCTTATTCATTTCGTTTTTCCAAAACGGCGCGTTTCTTTCTTCGTTTCGTCTCTCTAAAACGGCGCGTTTCTTTCTTCGTTTAGACTCTCTAAAACGGCGCGCTTCTTACTCGTTTCGACTCTCTAAAACGGCGCGCGTCTTATTCATTTCGTTTTTCCAAAACGGCGCGTTTCTTTCTTCGTTTCGTCTCTCTAAAACGGCGCGCTTCTTTCTTCGTTTAGACTCTCTAAAACGGCGCGCTTCTTTCTCTGTTTCGTCTCTCTAAAACAGCGCGCTTCTTTCTTTGTCCGCGGGCGAGATAGTACAACAATCGAATTTCTTTTCCATTTTACGGTACAGTGCCTCTCTCGCTCTTCTTCGCGCCGAAGTTATCTTCTCGGACGAACTTCTGCTAGGAAACGCGTACCGTGAAATTTTCATTTGCATTTTTAACCCTCGAACGGCGTACCATTTTCCCAACTAGACGATTTGCTACGTTCCTAAGAATTCTGCGCTTCAATCGACAATTTTTCCAAACATATTCTTGAAGATATTTCACGCAAACTTGTTAATCCTTCCGTTGTTCCCAGCGTGGCAGCCATTTATTCCATCGAACTGCCAAGAATCGACTAGCAAGGTGACCGTTTAAATGAATCGGGTCACGAGAGACCCGGTAACCGCAGGCCGATAGTTCATTTGCTTTTTCGCGTTGCAGAGAAAAATGCTTCTTCTTCCTGCAATCATTTCAACACTAAAAATAACTAACATGGGTTGCTTTGAAAAACTGGATTTATTATACTGGATATATTATTTATTTAGACCTTTTTTTATCGCAGTCTAAGCTGCTTGTACTTCGATCATTTTCTATGGAAGAATGTTCATAATGTTAATAACTTTCAACTCGGCAGGCTTGACGTTAACAGTGTTAATTAAATCGTGAAGAGTTCCATGAATATTTAAAAGAAAAGACTTCAAAAATTTGTTGAATCAGTCGAACCAGTTATTTCGACCGCGCCACGGTGGATTCAGCGTTAAATAACTGTTTCCAATTTCACTTGTTTCCGTCATAAAGGCGCGAAACTCCATTCGCGAACGAACATTTCGCGAAACCGTAGTAAAACGTTTTATAGTTAGCGCGGCAGATAGCTGTCCATGCGAATGTACGATATATGTGGTGGACGCGTTTCGAGCGAGATTCAATCGGGGCCGAATGGTTATTAGCCGGGATATAAACACCGATCAAGATGTTATTGCCTCGGGAACTGCTGTTAAAGGGCTCGTTTGACGGTAACTTATCGCGACGCGGGACACAAATGAGGCGAGCCGGACGGAGAGAAATAGAGTCTGGATAAGAAAAACGGTGAACGACGGGCTCGGGGGTGGAAAAACGGATGCCGCGATCGCCGCAAACCGGGAATTTATCTTCCGGCGATTCGACGAGCGCCGTGATTGCGCGTCGCCTGGTGAATCTGATCGATCGGATATGTTAATTAATCGACTGTCTTGTTGCAGAGGAGTGCAAGAATCACGACATGTTTCCGACGGACATGCAGATCAAGCTGGACCCGGGGTTGCACAAAACTATCGTCAGTAAGTATTAAATTCGCGATCGTGAGTCTCCGCGAAGAAAGATACATTTTCTGCTCTTAATTTGAAACCGGAAGTGCGTTAAAAATTGCGTCGGAACGATTGCTGAATAAAATTACAAGTGGTTCTTAGTTGTATCATCTAATTATTTCTTAATTATTTCGTGGAATCAGTATAAATGCAATCTCATGTTAAATTGTGTTCGAGTAATTATTTTCAACTGTCTAATTATTTTATTTAAAACACTAGCTATTAGTTCGCGAATAAATAATAATGTTGAAACAAACTATAATTTCGTAACAGCAGTGAATGATGTGAATGAAATCATTTCTGTAAAATAAATTCGTGTTTTCGTTTCGATTAGAGTATAATTCAATTATAGAGCTTAAAGAGCAGAAATACTGAACAAACACAGATGGCATCGTTAATCAGGCGGATCGACATAATACGCTCTCATCATTTCCAGATTACTCGAGGACTGAAGTGTCATTCGCAATAATCAGCTTGTTCGTGATGATAATGAGCTTCTGCTTCTCGATCTACACGTTTCGCAATCCACGTTACATGTTCAAACGGCTGGCTGGCGGGATACATTTCATTAGCGGTAAATTAATTATCTTCCGATTCATTTTCTCGCCGGCGCTGCAACTTTCGCGAATGACCGCTTGCATTGGCTCGAATGATGGGGATACAGTGAATTCTCCCCGATTGTCCTTCAGCTTTGAAACAAAGATGGACAATTTCGGAAGAGGAGATACGATTATTCGGAGTTTTCCTTACTTCGTTGCGAAATATCCCTCGCACCGTCCACGAATTTATGTTTAAAATTTTTTTAAGAGGTTCGCTATTTTTCCATAAATTTCTCTTAAAGAGATCGTCGCATGGTGAATCATTTTGATCCATTTATAACAGCTCGATATAACGAGATGATCGAAAACGTTTAAGGAGATATCTTCGTCTTTTTCGCAGTGTGTCAGAGCCTGCAATAAAAACATCAAAGATAACGCTTCAGTTTCTACGAATCGGTCGATCAAAAAACCAGAGTGAAAGTCTCCAGTTTAATCGCCGAAGATGCGAATTTTATAAAGCAGCTTCAATTATTAACTATTCATATTAAATCCAACAAGAGGATTAACATTGGCATCAAAGGGGTGGTTCGAAAATTGTATAAGAGAAAATCGATACGCGAGGACATTACTACCCGTGGAAGTTACAAAGACTCTCCCAAGTGAGCCGGTATAGTTTTTTAAATGAAATCACGAATCGTTGATATCATTTCTTATGCCTCTGTTCTATTATCCGAACGTTCAGGTACTCGCGATCGCGTCTCAGTAATCAAAGGGTGCGAAGCAAAACATACTTAGTTATCTCGTTTGGTTTCATAGATAAAAGACTGTTCCAATTTTAATTCGCTAAATTAACGATTTCTCTTTGAACTATTCAACTAAGATTTATTCATTTGAAGCAAGCGAGAACACAAATTTCGCTGCAATCGGTGAGAATACATTTGCACCCCCCGGATCGCGTTGCAGTTTCGAGACCGTTTGTCGTCCGTTGCAGCTCGGCGGTGCTTCCGATCCAACGCGATTGACCAACGAACGCTTGTTTCAGCTGCGTGCAACATGGTGGTGATCCAAGTGCTGTTGTCGTCGATCGAGTTCGAGAGCAAGTACGTGAACGCGACGTTCCCGAAGGGCGCGACGATGAGGTACGACTTCTCGTTGATCCTCGCCTGGATCGTGTTCCTCTGCAACCTGCTGGCCGGATGCGCGTTCATGCTGTTCTCCAGGAAGAGGAAGAGGGACAAAGCGCCGACGGAGGAGATCGCGATGGCAGACGAGCCAACCATCATCGGCCGTTGATCCCCGTCCACTTTTCGACGTCGTTGTTTCCGCCGAACGGATAGATCATCGCGCGCGATCCAGACGATGAGCCACGAAGATCTGAAGAAAAGACATGTATAGACACGTGCATGCGCGTGTTACGTGAAGAGACAATCGAAGACGACGCGCCCGGACTGGACAATGAATTCGCTCGAATTCGATCGTTTTTCATTTCAATCGAATTCAATCGTTCGACGAAACGCCGGACGTCGCCGCGATGCCTTCCGGTTTTAACGTTGCACGGCGGTGCCTGGGTCCGTATAGACCCGCATCTTGCGGGACACTTCACTTTTTATTGACGCGTTGAGTGGTGTTACCAGGATTTTTAGAATACGAAAGAGACGAACTAATCATAATATACATATAAATATAATATAGTAATATATTATATTGTATTTTATTATATTATATTATATATAAATATAATAATAATAATATTAATATTAATATATTAATATATAATATATAATAATAATATTAATATTAATATATTAATATATAATATATAATATATAATAATAATATTAATATTAATATTATATTATATTATATTATATTTATATTTTATTATATTATATATAAATATAATAATAATACATAAATATAACATAAATAACTATGGTAAATTCTAAGTTCATTAATTCTAAATTTTAAGTTTCATTAATCGAACAGACACTTCGACTGTCACTGGAACAACCTCGAAACTTTCGCAATATTCCAGTATTTTATTTAATCAAATTAACATTTGGAAGACGCGATAGATCAGCGTGGGAATTAATTTTCAAATTCGAGAAAATAATTCCGTCGTTCAAAGATGCGTGACAAAGTGTCGATTCGACTTTGTGGAAATTCTTGGGGTTCGCCGCTTAACGTGTCAATCGTCGAACACGTATAAAGTATTAAAAATAAAATTGATAAACTACTTAAATGGACCCAAGCATTGCCGTTCGAAAGCCATCAGATCTTCTTGAAGATCCGGGAAGTTCGGTCGATTCGATCGTGGTTCGTTCAACCCCCGCGCCCCATCTCTGAAAGTACAATACATTGGTCGAATTGGAGCCGACATCTTTTTCTCTCGCACCTCCGAACAGCCTGCAGTAAATTCTCCTTAAATTCTCCTTCAGCTTGTTAACAAAAATGAACTATTTAGGAAAAGGAGGTTAAGGAATTATTAAAAGGGATTATTCGAGCCTCGCGGCTCGTAATATGATTCAACTGAAATAATTGTCCATTTCTCTTCAACCCTATGTCCTCAACTGTTCCTTAATTGTCCATTATTGTTTGCGAGCTGAAGGAAAATTATGGAGAATTTACTGTATTTCTATTTTTCTATGTCGCGTCGCAGGAAACATTTTTATTCGACTGTTTCAATTTCTTCGTTTCCGGATTTCAATTTGACTTAGACAATTCTGTCGGACTTCGAACAGTTCTGTCTGCTTTGGAAAATGATCTCGTTGAACGTGGTCTGACGAGATTGCGAAGATTAAGATGCAGTTGCGTGCAACAGGATTTCTTTGCGACTCGGTCCGGCGTCCGATCATTATCATAACGGGGTGCGCTATGGCTCTCCACCCACCTCCCCCAAGTGGTTCAGCTGTCCGTTACAATACCGTAGCATCTTCCGAAAACAATGAACAACTACGTATCATACGTAACCGCCGCGTACCAAATTATCGAAGCTGAATACTTAGAGATCCTCCGGCTAAGCGACAAATCTACTATTTTTCTACATCAGATTGCCGAAATTTAGGGTACTATCGATATCGGGACCATTCTGATTATCTCGAAAGATTACTTTGTTCTGCCAACGCGATTGTTTCGAACGAGAATTTCGTAGGGGATGCATCGAACTGTATAGCTTTCTTCAGGACTAAATTAACCATCAATGAACGCGTATTGTACACGCCTTAGAGAAACTTCAAATTATCGTCGTGTGTCACTTCGTGTGTGCAACGTTGTAGAAAAACTCTTCGATATCTTGCTGTATAATTAAAGGAATGTTCGCGTTGTTATCGCAGCATTAAACCGACAATGGAACCGATTAGATATTGCTTAGAAGAATGGGAGAGATTATCGAGCCTGTTCTCTTCTACGTAAAATCTAGCAAGCGTTAAGATCGATACATCGATACGAAATTATCAATACGAGTTCCGTGTAAGTCGAGCAGGCTGGAACCTGCTGCAGGCGATAGCTGAAAATAGCTTGAGAAACACTTCGCGAGAAAGCGTAGCACTTTAACTATTAAATGCTAGATTTATAAGAAATTAGCTACGATCGTCTATAAAAAAAAATCATCTTGCATAGTTGTTGTCCGACTAAACCGAATAATTCTGACAGCGATCGTTAGACCGCGGACGTTTATGCACTCGCGATGCTCTCGTTTTGAAACATTTAATAGAATAATCGAAGACAAAATGAGAAATTAATATTAATTAATCATTAATAGAAAAAAATATAATTAAATTAAATAATATAAAAAATATATATAATATATATATAAAGAATAATATATATATAATAATATATAATATATATAATATATATAAATAATAATATATATAATATATATAATATATATAAATAATAAATTAAATTTTAAAAAATATATAATTAATAGGAAAATCGAAAACAATTAATTATTCGAATACTTCGCGAAGCTTCTGATAAATTCCGGCTTTTTAACGCCGTTATCCATGACAATCGAATACTTTTACGTAAACGTCCACGGTCTAATTAATACGCATCGCGGTTCGTAAGATTGATTCGTTCTCCGACGTTTGATACCGGCGCCGTTTTCTACGATGCAAAATAGGATCTAAGGAAATCACCGAACACATACATAATTAGTCCATCGTCTGTCGTCGCGAGGTGGAAACAATTTCGGAGACTGGATCGAGGCGAGAACTTGTTCCTCGAACAACCAACGCGACTTCGAAACTCGGTTAATTTACACTTAAGAAGGGGGGGAGTGGGACGGATTTATCCCGCGAGATTCTCTGAAAAATGATTATTCTGATAATATCTTTGCTAACGAGAGATATCGTATCGTTTTCTCCCGATAAGATCTGCCGATACAAGTTTCCCGTTTAATAATATATCACTAAATCTCGATTATGTATCGGGTTCGAAAGACACTTTTCAAATGAATTTACAGAAAAGAACCTTTCCAGGAAAGTAATATCGCGAGCTGTGCTTTTTGGATCTTACCAGAACCGATTCTAGTCGACACCGATATATCATAAACATCGATAGTACAATATCCGTATGATTAAGACAACTCCGTAGAGTGTAAAGTTCGTTTTGTTTTCTCGCTGATAATGCTCTAGCTTCAAAAAAAAAACAATTGCGATTATTAACCGATAAGTCTAGTCGCTAAAAATCGCAGGCAAATCATTTAATTGTCGAACTTTTGTGAAACGCGGTGTGTAGTGCGTTTTTTATCGAGTACTTAAGAAATCTTTGTGATATCTTTCGATGACATATCCTACATTGTACGTCGCCGAAGAAATTCCCGCGATTGTTTTTCTTCCCGTTGTTCGTCGACTACGGATTTTTATTCGAGCAGAACGAACTTTGCGCCCTGCTTAAAGGTTTCCTTTCGAAGGGAATCAGCGGAACAAGTACGGTGAATTCTGTCCCCGATTTTCCTTCGGCTTGTGAACAAAAATGGAGGAGATATATAAAAGATTATTGTCCGAGCTTCGCGGCTCATTTTTATAGTTGCCGATTGTCAACGATCATATAAACGAGATACAACGCTCGAATAATTTTTGTTTACAAGCTGAAGGAAAAAAATTAGGGAAAATTTACCGTGCTCCGAATCAAAACTACTAATAGGTTTACGATCCACACTTCTGATTCTAGTCAAACTCGTATCTACGCAAGTAAAGAGAATGTATTCCTCGTGCAAAGGAAATCCACAGAACAGACCGTCTCCTGAGAAAAGTATTTTGTAATAAAATTTCAACGCGGTCTCGTGCAGTGTACTTAACCCTTCGCACTTGAGGCGCCGCTAAAAATTGCCACAGCTCGAGGCAAGCCTTCTCATTGCATTCGTTCGCATTTAATAAATCGCTAAACAATTTTAAGTTCAATCCTTATCGTTTACATAAGATACTCCGAATTAAAAATTCTAGTTTTCGGAGCGAATATATACATATATAACTTCGAGTGCACAGGGTTAACATGTTGTTGCCGAGTCTAGTCAAACTTGAAGTGAATCAACGTTGTAAGATGTTTGTACTAACTCGAACTTCAATGGATTCGCCTGTGAACATGCTAAATGTTAATTTATCAAACGACGCATCAGGAGTTTAGTCGACAGCGGCCGCAGCTGCGATTCTAGTCGATCAAGTTACGTATTATAGTAATCGAGTTCTCGAGAAAGAGAGTGGTGCCAAGCTTTTGTCGCATTTTTTTTCTTACAAAAGGCTCGCGAAAAGGCAACGATTTACAGACAATCGAACTGTACTCGATTGAACGAAATATGTAATTGGAAGGAATTTTAATCATCTGTCGTTTCTCAAGAAACGCGATTTCCCGTCGAGGAGCGTCCTTTGCTTTCGCCTAAACGAATGTACATTATGTATAACGACGCAGTTTAATATGGCACAGAATGCACACAATTTTGCCGCCATTGTCATTTACGTCTACGTATACCTTTTTATTGAACACATGTTTAGTTGAGTTTCAAGTTTGTTATTTTCTTTTTCTTTTTCTTTTTTTTTTGAATTAACAATTACGACGATGAACGTTTGCTAATTGCATGGTTGTAGTTCTGCACCTTGAAAATTTCACGGTAGCTGGAAATAGTTAACTCTATTTGATTCGGTTTTTGTATGTATATGTGTACGAGAAAGAATCTTTCTCTTAACGAAACCCATTGATGATCACGATCTACTTTTCATATTAAGTTTGATTACTTTCAACGATCCTTGAAAGTGCGATCATCGTGTTACACCGGATTACCAAACGTTCATTGCGAGAATAAATTAAGCTGAAGTGTCTGGTTGAACGTTCCTTCGCTTTTTGCTTGTGAAGTATAAGCGGCTGCCCACACGTCCCGATAAAAGACATACATATATAGTTTCTATATGCGTACGTGAACATGAAAATGATTGTAATTGTTCTTTTCCATGATCGAAATAAAGCGCATTCACGTCTGCTAAACGATGTTGCGCGTACTTATTATTGCACCCACCCCTATTCGCTCGTAAATCGAGTTCGTGTTCTACAGTGTATCAATTTTAATTGTCACTAAAACAATCAGTTACATTTTTATCAAATTATTTGCATGAACTTTCTGCCATTTGTGGAGATAATAAATGGATAATATATATATATATATATATATTGCATGCAATACATTCCACCTGTCTCTTATACACATCTAGATGTGTATAAGAGACAGGTGGAATGTATTGCATGCAATATATATATATATATATATATTGCATGCAATACATTCCACCTGTCTCTTATACACATCTAGATGTGTATAAGAGACAGGTGGAATGTATTGCATGCAATATATATATATATATATATATTGCATGCAATACATTCCACCTGTCTCTTATACACATCTAGATGTGTATAAGAGACAGGTGGAATGTATTGCATGCAATATATATATATATATATATATTGCATGCAATACATTCCACCTGTCTCTTATACACATCTAGATGTGTATAAGAGACAGGTGGAATGTATTGCATGCAATATATATATATATATATATATTGCATGCAATACATTCCACCTGTCTCTTATACACATCTAGATGTGTATAAGAGACAGGTGGAATGTATTGCATGCAATATATATATATATATATATATTGCATGCAATACATTCCACTGTTTTAATTCTTTTAATTTGTATAATTCCAAACAATTTATTTTCTACATTAAATAACCCATTAGAAAATTATCAATTGATTGACACTGCAGAGATTTATTGCTATCTCCATTTATATATATATATATAATTTTAATATAAAAATATTAAAAAAAAATATAAAATATTTAAATTTATATATGGAGATAGCAATAAATCACTGCAGTCAATCAATTGATAATTTTCTAATGGGTTATTTAACGTAGAAAATATAAATTGTTTGGAATTATACAAATTAAAAGAATTAAAACAGTGGAATGTATTGCATGCAATGTCTGTAAGGATTCTAAGTATCTCTTGAAAGACAGTAAATAAACGTAATTATGACAATCCGAGATATAGAATCGATGCGCGGGAGAATCGCAAACAATTTGATACAAAAGATATTAAATGTTACCTAATTTTAGCACTGTAACAATATACGAAAAGATATGTGCATTCGTATTTTCTGCGTCAATGTTTTGGACGATGCGCACGCGTATGTGACTGTGTACGTGAGATCTACACACGTGGTTATAAAATCAGCTGGTTGACAGACTATTAGTGACAGACGGTGTATTAATCGAACGATGAGTGGTTTTTAAAAGATATTTTTTTATTCTTAAGTAGGTATGTTTTTCTTATGCCCTGTATTAACCTTTTTTCCTATTCTATCGTTAAAAACTGTCTGTTGCATGACAGTTGTTATTGCGTTCAACAGCTGACAAGATGACAATGCAGGTTATTGTTTAATTAAAGTTCTCACAGTCTTCTCAATTTGTTACAGTGACTGTCAACTAATAGATTATACCAAAATGATGACTGATCTAGAAGAATCAGAAGTTAGGAAGGTTCAGTCAGAGAATGAAAAACGTGATAGGTAAGTTCCTATTGTTTCAACATGGAATATGTTTGTTTACAAACAGTGCATATGGTTTTATCCACAGCTGTGGGGAGCAACAGGATTTTTCAGAAGCTGCAAAGAAATTGGCGGAAGGACTGTTAGGCATTTATAAATTGCCATTGGAGCAAGTGCATAAAGAATTAGCTGAAGTAACGTAAGAGAACGTAATATTTTATACTGTGTTTACTATAATTATTAAACTTATTATAGCATTGTACTTTATTGCTTTTTTCAGAACCAAGCAACAGGCTTTACTTAATCAAATGCAAGGAGAGAATACAAAACTCCAACAAACTGTTGAAGATGTTGACCTAAACAAAATGGTATTTTGATGCTTTAATATAATTCTATAGCTTGTTAAATGTAAAATATCTAAATAAATATACATTGCAGTTTCAAACAGTAAAAGTTTATCAAGGAAAACTAATTTCCATGAAGAAAGAGATGGCTTCAATTCATGAGCGTACATTCAAATTAAAAGTAAGTATTACTATAACTTCTTTGCAACTTAAACATATTTAATTTGCTATTTTCTTTATGCAGAAACGAGCGTTAAGATTACAACAAATAAAGCAAAAGGAGGCCTTGAACAGGGAACAACAGCGGGAGCAAGAAATTCGTCGTGAACAAGACTTAATTGGTAAACCTGTAGTAAGTTAAGAAAAATAACTTGAGTAAAAAATGACTCATGACAGAAAAACGATTTAAATGTACACGAGAGCAATATATTTATACAGTCACTGTTCACATTAAAACTGATACTTGATTCATATTTTTATATATTACCAAACAATTTTCCATTGCCCGGTTGAACTACATTTTTTATTATCTTTACATAAAGTATTAAATGTTGTTTTAGACGGGAAACCAATTATCTCTCTCTCTTCTTGTATCCTAAAAGTAAACGTTGATTCACGCGTTCCCAGGAAATACCTAAAAGATTTTTATGTGCAATAAGAAAACGAAATATGTTTATTATAAATTTTTACCTAGCATGGGAACAAATGATTTGATCAATAATCGCTACTCCACCATCTTTGAATTTGTTTAGTATATAATCTGATGGAATGTATCTTAGTACTGTGTACTCAGTCAAATATTCTTTAAGTTCGTTGAATTCTGTAAAAGAATTTACTTAGACAATAAATTGTGTTAAATTTATATTCCGTGTAATATGCCAGAAAATAATTTACCACTTTCTATGGCATCTGTAGCAACAAACAGAACAATTAATCCAAGTTCATCCATCTTTTTCCGCAATTGAGAGGCAGCAGATTTTATCGTTGGTACCGTCGAGGAACGACCGACCACGAAATCGCGTCTTCTTAAATGACTGGCTAGGTATGGTCCTCCAAGTGCATTTCTTCTACTCTGTAATTAAGTAACTGTATTAAATAATATTTGCTTATCTTTCTCTGCTAATAAATACCTTCTCTTGAGTCCAGTCAGGTGGTCTTTCAGTCTTATCAGCTATATCTGATGAATTAAGAAAATGTTTCCTGTATTCATTAGCAATTTTGTACAACTCAGGGTTGTATCTCATGCTGCGTCTGGCTCTCCAATACTCTTGTGATCCATAAGAATCATGTAATGCAATTTCCATGTGATCAAACATTACAGACCTGTATTAATAAATTTAATTACATCAAATACTGTATATAGAATATAAAGTATTTTCTTACTTGTAAATAGAAGGTTGTAGATTTTGTTTTAAATCTGACATCATTCCATGAAACTTGACACATTTAATGGTTTCTGAAGTTACATTATTGTATCCCCAAAAGTATCTACCATATTTTACAGACTCTGGTTTATTATACTGTAAAGCTTCATCAGTACATTCTACTATTTCATTTTTGTCTTCAAACTTTCCTGTTTGAAACATTTCCTCATCATTTTGCAGTATATATACAACATCAAGTTGTGTGTGTCTATTTATTGTAGGATACTCTGGAAATTTTAACTTTTATTAATCCAATAAATTATTATAAAATAGTAAGAATTATACCTTGTATAAATTGATACATGTCAATAACTGGTATATACTTCTGGAGATTTGTAATATCAAAAAACAGGCTCCAAGGCAGCTGTGTTTGAGATCCTATGTTCTTAGATTGCCAATGGTACAAATTACCTAAAAATAAATTAAAAATGAAAAACATGTAATGAATGTATATTACTAAACATTTAATAACAATAAAGTTGAAAGATATAATTACCCCATGGTGGCAGAACTAATTTCCATTTATATTTCTCCTCATTTTGAATTAAATTTTTTATAAAAACTGCTATGCGAACGTAAACGTCTCTTCTGAGATTGAAACCCTCCGGTGGATTAATATCATAAAGAATATAACTAAAAACATATTGTATGTTAGAAAATCGTTAATTTTAATAAATAAACAATTTACAAATTTATTTCATACCGGTTGTTTGAATAATGCGTTTGGACATTGCAATTTTGATTTGTCTCTCCATATTCATCTATTTGATTGCAAAATTCATTATCAGATGCACATTGCATAAAACTAATAGAAAACAATGTAAAATATAATGTCTTGTAGTAGAAATTTAACATTTTAAGGTTATGTTGGCTATGTATAATATTTATATACAACAATCCAAGAAAAAACAATGTAAAATAATCTAAAATATAATTTCCTAATGCCAATGTATAATGAATGCATGTAATCTATATATTTTACAGAAAAATAAATCTTGCTTTTCTGACTACATATGAAGCTGTTTCGTTTGGGATTAATCAACTGGAATGAATGGTTTTTTAATGTAATATTTTTCTTAAATGATAAGATAGAGGACAGTAAAAAAACAACAGCAATAGCAACAACATTGTACAGGTTGATCTTTGTTACACACGAATTACAGACTCATATCTCCCTTACTTAAAAATGGTTGATGGGTAGATTACAATTTGCTAATTCAATCGATAATAGTTATAATAATGGTAATAATAATTATTATTTATCGTCTTATACAATATTTATAATTCATAGTTCAGTTAACATAGTTTGTGTCCTGCTTATACCAAGCAGGGCCGTTATATGTTACATTTACTGCGACTCGCTTCCCATATTCTTCCATTTATCCTATTAAAGTATACACTTGGCATATAAAAATTACAAGGACAATTTATAATGGTAATGGTAGTAGCGGTAGTTGTAGTTATAGTAATGATAGTGGTAGCACTAATGGTATTTGTAGTTATAGTAATAGTCATAGTAGTAGTATTAGCAGCGGTAGTGATAGCGATAATAATATTATCGTTACAATTATTTATCCAATAACTATGTCCTGTTACCATTCTTGTCTTTCATGATTTTACTTTGTCTATACGTATACTTGCATGGAAATCTCAGATCCAATTCTTGGTTGCTCAAGACTCCAGTGTGTTTTCTCTTCTTTTTAAAGGGGTAGCAGAAGTTAGTGTACTGTCCCCTTAAAAATTTGTGCCTCGTTGTGATTCTTCAAATGTGTGCCGTTTGTTATACTTCTTTTTCACATTTCATTAGCAATGACGTTAACTGGTAGTAGAATTCGTAGTCAGCAAACATTGGTATATACTGTAATACTGAATTGTTGTTATAATAAATATAACATGAAATTCATTTCTATATTAGACTAATTCTCTTTCTTGTTTTGCATCGTATATATGAATTCTCTATTGTTAACATCACAGCTAAAATGGTGCCTTATTTCAACATGAAACACACTATCTTACATTCATTACAAAAACGTGAAGTAGTACACGATATTATAACTTTCAAACAAAATAATATTCTGCACAAATTGCACAGTGCACTTATTCAATTATACTACATCGTACAGTTGCTCCTTGTATACGTTTCCCTTCTTTTCTCTTACATACATCCTCGTACATCGAACTGCCTTCTTTGGCTCATCGTTTATGTTAATAAATAGAACAAAAAATTGTAATTGTCGTAGATAATAAAATTTTACGCTATAAAACTACCTGATCGTAGCAGACGCGTTAAAATAATTATTAAAATCTCAGAGCAAACAGATAAATACAGATTGCATCATACATTAATTCGTATAATTAATATAAATTCAACTCAACGTATTTTTAATATCTCCTCTATTGTCCGTACTAAAGTAATCAATTGAACTATTAGCTACCACTTTGAAAAGTTTTGGTGCACTGTGTATTGTACTATGTATGTTACAAATATATTTATATTTATATAGCTTGATACTACTTCACATTCAGAGAATTACATTTGACAATTACCCGCTTACTAGCACAATTGCAGTTTTATATGCTGGCACAATTACCTGACACTCCAGGTAAGATAGTAGATTACAAATAAAATTAGACTTAGTTAATTTTGAAGTTTGTTACATGGAATCATTGCATATAATTAATTAAATATTATGCTTTATTCTGCAGCTAATAAATTCGGCAACAAAATTATTGACGTATTTTTCTTTTTAGCTTTAAAACCATCTTAATTTAAAGCTGCTTTTTGCTTGTGAGGCGGCTGTTTTTTTTTGCATCAAGATTGTGCCCTTTTACTATTCACCGAACGCTTGAATTGATTGACATTCTACAGCCATTTCATTTTTCTCAAAACTATATTAAGACCAAAGTATATTTAACTGCATTGGGCTTGTAATGAAACCTTCGAAAATTATAAGATTGTTAATAAATAATTCATATATACACAGAGAAAGATATATATACACACACACACACTCACACGTGTGCGCGCGTGAGCGCGCGCATACTTATTTACAATATAATTAGCAGTAACACTCACAAACGTATATCGTACCGAAAAATTCATAATAATGTTGAAATTGTTCTTCCGTCCAGTTCGGTCGAATTGAGCGTAAGAAAGTGTGTGTATCTGAAGAAACGAATACGCTATCAAGTAAACACATGCTACGGATTGTTACATCACAATATTATACAATATTACGTGTATGTTTTTACCATATACTAGCACGTTCTTTATGGACAAAAAAAGATTGCAAACAGCGAAAAGAAAGACTTGTCTTGAATAGAAATTCTCCTAGGAATACTTTTTACAATCTTATGATATGTGTCAACTGATGATAGGCGAACTTAGATGTTACATGTCTTTCTTTAAGCACTATTGCGCTTAACAATAAGAAGCATTCAACGAAGGAAAACTCTTCCAGCATTGCTGAAGACAATATTTAATACATCAACGTCGATTCGAATAAAAACAGTGGTTTCTCTATGAAGACACGATTGAAATGAAAGTAAACCGAAGGCAAGACCAAGTTTATACAACAATTATTCATGTTCTTGGTAAAAACATTACGTGTGGAATAGTAAATTGTCTGTTAAATATGATTAGTTCTGCTTACTCAAGCTCTATTCGATACCGAGCAGTCGGAGGCTGGACTCAGGCAAAAATTCTCTGTATCTATGTATATTATTTATACTTAAATACATAGAAAGCGGCGAAGCTGCTACATACCGAGTCATGATTTACATATACGAGTGATTATAAACGTGGCTGCATCTTTTGGAAGGTTTCCTTTCATTTGCTTTCCTTGGAATGTCCATAGACACTATTAACTAGCGTACATTAAAAATAAGTTCAGTCATTTACACACACTGCGGACACTTCCGAAAGGGAGAGACGGCCATTCTGTTTCACAAAGTGCCTCAGCATTGTATAATCTATTCATTTTGTACAAATTAGTTCTGTACAATCGTCTAGCATGTATATTAGTGAGAAGAGCATGTAGTACTACACATTGTAGAAACGCATGCTCTACTTCGATTGTAGTTCCTCTATAATTCTATGCGTATTTAGAAAATTCGGTATTGCTAAATAACTAAAAAACGTTTCTGTACCTTTTTCTCGAATTCGTGAATTTGTTTTTCTTTGTTCTATCTTGTTTCGTAACCGGCTTCCCAACAAAGTCGAAAGTCGAAAGCAACATCTTTGCAATGATGAACGCAAAGGTCGGTGCCCAAGAATTAATCATACCATAAAGATTTATACAGAGAAAAAAAGGGGTACCACCATGTTTCAGTATTGAGGTAGCGTAACGTTGCTTTGGCTTAGCGAGTCTTTCTGATTATCTAGAAATATTTCCACTGATCGGTGGTACTCGAGAGAAAAGTATTACACGCCGAAGGATGATGAAACTGTACAGTAATGATCTTTACACGTAGATATTCTCATCTTTCATCTCTCGCTCTCTCTCTTTCTCTCAATCTCTCATTCTCTCTATTTCTCTACCGCGCGAATATTTCGAGTGCCGACGTTCGAGTTACCATACAACGTGTGTATGATTGTACAATCATCGTACTGTATTGCGATGTCTTTGGTAGAAACTATTTGGTACGTTTGCGCCCATTCGGAAGGTCTTTGCAGAGCCATGAAAGTTACAACGAATGAACAGCTTGCAGGGGGTTTAGGTAGTTCACAGGGAAACAAACATCAACAACAATGATTCCTCAAGTATCAACAACATTAACAACATCCCATTATAACTTATCATCATTATTGTGATCGTCTCTATCGTGATCAGTTTTTCTCTCTTTTTTTGTTATGTCGATTACAGTCGCTGTCGTTATGTCTCAGTCTTACGCCCACTCCTTTCAGCTCGATAACATTTGTAATGGGTAATTCTAATTATCATAGCAATCATTGTCTTCAGCAACATCGTCACTACCGTTTATAGTTAATTATTTATGGCCATTGTGAGCGCATCGACGCTTCCTTCTATGGCCAAACACCGTCTCTCTTTTCCTCTCGCAGCTTCTCTTCGCATTTACAATAACGTTCACGCGAATTCTCACTGACTACCGATCGAATCTAGTAGTGCAGTCAATCACTCTGGAACTTTTGTTAACAGAATTACAAATACACACGGATGATCTATCGATAGCGGGTCTATTCAACGAGAAAATCAAAAAGCTGCTAGAAATGCTAGAGAGCGGAATGAGAAACTATTTACTTCCGTTACTGACCGCGAATAATGAGAAATGATGAAACGATATTAGTTTATGCTTGACCGATCGATAGTTCCATTTACCAATTAAAATTACAAAGTCCCTTAACGTTATAACATCTACTAACGCTTCGTACATGTACTTATATATTGCGCGAATATTTTGGTATAAAATGTCTGTCCCTAGTCCATGGTAAATAAAAAGCGAGCCTTTCAAACACGTCCATGCAACTGGTTTCCCTTGTTTACTTTTTCTCATGATAATCTAATTATGATAGTTGCTTCGGTGTATTTGTTTTAAATATATTACGTGTTTATATGTGATCTACAAACATTTAAAATTCATCGAAATAACAGAGGAGAACAAGTAGTTCTCACGCTCCTTCTGTGCAAAGTAATATATATGTATATAAATACATATATGTATATGTACACATATATATGGCGTATTAGGTCACTGTCTTATAGATGCAGAAATATAGAACGCAGTCTTTTCCCTTGTACATAAATAGTTTCCTCGAGAGCGATGGCACTAATATTATAATTTCAGGATTTCTTTCACTTTGTGCGGTAAATGGTATGAAAATAGATATCGTCTCGACTATTCGTTATACAGTATAAGTAGACAAATATAGTACAAGAAATATGTAATCGCGTCGTGGAAATGTTTTACAAACTATCGGTCACGTTTTTCAATCTACAAATCACTGTTTCTTAACAAATCAGAATAAATTAGAATTATTGTCGTAATTACCTATCAACTGATCTTATGGCTTTCGAGGAAAAAAGTATACGGATCGCACACGACGTCATCTCGACCGCTCACTACATTTCGGTATCTATACGAGAGCAATTGATTCAGAATCATCGTTATCCTTTATCGAAACGCGTAACATGCGGCCTATGAAACGCGCGCGACATAAAAATCGATAAAACGCTTTCGAAACGCTTGCGATCAGACCCCCCCCCCCCCGGTATTTTTTAACAGTTCATGCCCGAAACAAATACTCCATAACACCGCATGTCACATACCGAACAGTATGAAGATACCCTTAGAGTGATACTTAAAGCTCTTACAACTTTTACAACACACTTGCGCACAGAGAGTAGTAATAGCTGGGGTTTGGACTAGACATGATGTGGTTGAAGATGAGGCAGCCTGCTGGATAAGTTGGATCAGGATTTCATACTATTCGCTTCATCGAGTCGCCTCTCTGTTCCTACAGCTAATAAATTTGCGAATTCCCTTTCTAATAGTTGTCGAGCCTGCAACAAAAAGACATTGCAAGTTAATATAATCTGCAGCTGTTGATTTTTTAGGTAACAACTTACTTGTGTATTCTGTGTTGGAATCTGTAATGCTAGGGCAAAACTATTCGCGTCGAAACTTTCATCAAGAGCTATAAGTGCTCCGTGCACCCCTGATTCCAAAAGGTTGTTCCCATATTCCTACACACACACAAGGTCATGTTTTATACAAATTAATAAATAACTATGCTAGGATGAGGCAAGAGAAATATAAAATGAAATTGTCACAATCACACTCTGGAAAATAAACGATGTTTTTGAAATTACTTTCAGGCCGATAGATTGAACCCATCTTATAACGCGATCGTTACTCCACACAAGAACGTCGACGTTGGCATCCTCCGCCATTTGTCTCCTTTCTTCTAATTGCTGCCTATCGTAATTTAGTCGCTTCAAACAGGAAATACCGTACTGCAGACTTGTTCTGTGAACAACGATTAGGTTTTATCAAAAACGAATTCTAAACTCCGTGCTATCAAGATCTCTGAATGCTATCGTCACCTGTGAAAACTATCAACCATTTTAAGTTGACTACGGAGCTCTTTTTTAGTGAGGTGATCCAACATTCTAGCATCAACAAGGCACTCCATGAAAGTGGATCGATATTGAGGCAAACCAAGGCTTGGCAGCCAAACGTTACCAATCCATTCGTGGTTCATATCACCGAATGCTAAGGTTGTGCGAGAGGTTTTCGGTGCTGATGGACTTGTGAGCGACACCATTTCTTGAATAGCTAATCTGAGCTTCAGCCGGTGGAGATGACAACTGGAGACAGCATTGATCCATCAATGCATATCTGTCACTTGATTAAGCAAATAATCAATTTCGTACCTTATACCAATTTCACGTTGTATCTCGGTATCACTAAGGGCACTCATTATGGCACCACTTTTCACGTTGGCTCGACAAGCTGCGACGTACCAAGTTGGCATGCCCACCCAGAGTTCCAGCCACGCCACCACGGTTGGCCCGTTCCACAAAGCGAATGGTGTCCCAGCCTTCATCGCCTCAGCCAGGAGTTCATGACGCGACGAATCTAACATGCTACCAAACATACTAGGACTGAAATCAAGTAACATTTTTAATGCTCACTGTGTATATACTCACAAGAAACTCATGTGAGTCATTACCTTTTCTTTTTTCTACAGTCGAAATCACTCTTGCTGCCCATAGTTCCAGCTACAGTTACACTATCACCATAGTCAGGATCAGCAGGCGTACTCGCTCCTCCCATTCCTGGTACGTCTCCTGGCATTGGCGTGTCTTTCCCCTTGATCTGTTAGACATACGTTTTTTTTAGAATTTCTAATCACTTGGAAGGTTGTCAGGGATCGTGATTTTCCCTTACCTTCTCTTTCTTACTGAAGAATCTACCAAGGCTGCTTTTAATGCCCTTCTTCTTCTGAGCCGCAGCCACTGCAGCCGCCGTAGCCGGACTCATGGTGGCTTGCATGTGCAAGTGGGAGCTAGACAGCTGTCCAATTGGCAATCCAACGCCGGACAAGTTGTTTTTGTGCAAACTGTCCTGGCTACTGTGGCGTGAGGACAATGGGGAAGGGGGAGTCCCAGAATTGAGTGCGCCGTTGTTATGTTGCCCATGCCTGCTGCATGGAGCGCTAATCTAGTTTCTATGTCTACTCTAAATAATGCATTCTGGCCCACGCAAGAACACTATATTGCTTTTTACGTCTGTTCTGTATTCTATTCAATTTATACAAGAGGTTGTCTCCAGACTTGTCTGAAGATATATGTGAAGGAAACTTCTTTACTATACATTGTCGTACTTCTTAGTGCAGTGTACTTATTGCATGAGGCCACGTGTAATCAAGGAACTTACTGAGCCAAGTGAATTGCATTACTATCAAAAAGATTAGCGATGATGTATGGTCACGTTATGCGTTCGGGCAAGTTTGTAATCTATAAGCTTTACAGATGAATTTTATCAACAAGGGACATTAATAATCTGGCCACATTGGAAAAGTGATCCAAAGTGGATAATGTCCCTTGTAAACATTTTTTTGAAAGGCTTCAATGTTTATATATCAGATCAGAATGGTTGCAATAGCTCTCTGCATGCAAAAAAAGAAATCCTATCTACGTCTAATTGAATAATTGAATCATGACACTCGCTACAAGCTTGTTTTGCTATTGATCTAACGAGAAAGCGATATCCAATGATTTTATCTAAGATGATAGACTATCCCCAACCAAATAGAGAATAAGAAATTTGTAATACCTACTCAGTATTACAGGCAAGGCATAAAAACCTGGAAATATAGCTGAACACTGCTTATAAGATGGGATTGCCATATTAAGGATTCATTTGAGGCAAAGATATAGAAGGATGTTACTTCAATATACATTTAACCAGTCGTTATCATTTTCTTGAATAGTAAAGACAATTGTTTTTGAGTTATGTCGATCTATATCTTTGCAATCTATTTGGTAGAAAACAACCTTATTCGCGCAGGAGATCGAGACGCGGCGTTTAGTCGATGCAATTCTCTTGGCTGCTTAAATTCCGTCGTTTGTGTGAGACAGCGGTGTTTGTCGTGAACTGGGCAGGCTTGAATGTACGATGGGTGGAAGAAGCTACTATCAGTTTCTTCCGGGGACTCATTTCTATCAGATCTATCAGATGGTTCGTCCGTACCACTGTGCTCGAAAATTGGGGCTGTGGGCATGTATGTAACACCTTGCATACTAATTCATCATCGGCTGTGTTACTTTAGGGGTAAACAGATGGACAAAAAGCAAAAACAGAAGGGAACGTCTCGAGTTTAAGTCCCTTGACATCAAGCAAAAGGTACAAAAAGTTACCGTCGATGTCACTTATGTCGACCTCAAGGTTGTTCATTTCATGCCCACATGGACCACTCAAAAATGTCGCGCACAGCGGCATGTGTTGCGGATTACATGCAGTATTACAATCTTTAATTAACCTGTGAACAGGGAAACCACTGCTGGGAAATCCAGTTTGTCCAGTGCGCCTGGCAGCATAAACAACGTACAATTCTACTTACAATATCATTACTTCGCCTTTGGCAACCCCACCTCTATGTATGCCAAGGACTTTGTAAGAAATTTGACTAGCTGATTGGCAACGATTCAATGCGCACAAGTAACTCTCCTTTCCCAACAAAGTGCAGGAACGAAGAGCCTTCATAAAGCGTCCTCAATGTCAGAGATGTGGTTACTAAAGTAGTACTTAGAATTACACTGTCTCTTCTTGAATTGTGTTCAGGTGGTTCGTAAATGGTAATATAAAAGCAAATAGAAAATTGAATGTATACCTTCTGAGTTCCTCTTGACTATGAGCAAGTGCTTGTACTACACGTTCCAGCCTGATTGATCGAGCTGTTAATGGCGATGCTGCATCGCTGCCACCGCTTCCTGCACCACCGATGCTGTCTCTTTCGCTCACCGAATGCAATTCTTCGCCTGATAACTGTAACTGCGAATTTACATATACTATATCGCCTTCTGATGCTCCTAAGTAGCTAGCTTGAAAATTGAACAGTCACTGACCTGGCTTGCAGGAAGAGATTCCGACAGTTGTCCTGGACTAGCTAGAGAGGCGGCATACTGGTGGAGATGCGCCGGAGACATTGACGCTGGTGCCTTTAAACAATTGTTATTAAAGTAACATCATCTATTAATTAAGTATCAAGCAACCTTGCTGTACACTTACAGTATGATATTTATGCAAGTAATCCCTATTAGGACTATGATGCGATTTTGGTGTAGATCGCCCACTCAGTGGCGGTGATGCTCGCTCAAGACTTCGCCCTCTCGCTAAGAGGTTCATATGTTCAAGACTACCGACACGAGACTCTAACTCTTCTGCGCGTGCTTCAGTACTTTGTTTCTCTTTCTGTAACATTACGTTCAAGCTGTAGTTCGTATATAGTGAATATGTACGAAAGTAGGAACGTTTGCGTACCTGAATCAACCTAATTTCATTATTAATTGCATCTAATTGTTCCTGTAACATTAGCGCTAATGTTTGAGCATCTGCATGTCCTGTCGGACTAATTACATCGGCCGCACAGCTGAAGAGACTTTCATTGTCCCCGTCGCCTTCTGCATCGCTGGAGACATCAAATGCCTGCTGCACGTTGGCAAGGACGTGCGCCTGCTGCAGTTTCTCCCATTCTTGTTCTGCGAGCGTACGAGCTACATAATTCTAGAAAAAAATGTTATTACAATTTATACATGTATTCTTAAACCTGTGTTTACAATCAATAGTCTGCGATATTAATCAAATATATACTTTCGTCGTGTCCTCGTCGATGGTAGGCCGTTTGGGCGTTCTCCTTGGCAAAGAGTGTGTATCGAAGCTACTGTGGCTCGCACTCCTGGAGAAAGATCCAGGATCCACTGCATTGGGTGACAAACTTCTGGTCAATGCATCTGTTTGTTGGATGTTGAACGCTATTTCCTGTTGGAGCATCTGCCTCTTCACATTGTCAATCTCCAGCCGAGCTTTTCCCAGCTCCTTGACGATTTCTGTCTTCTCGTTTTGTAGATCTTCAGCGATCTTCCTTGTCTGCTCCAGTTCCTGCGTCAGTGCATTCTTCTCTTTCAACGCCTGCATTCTTTCCTCCAGATGAGCCTGCAGTCTTTCGTTCGACTCTGAATGAACAAGATAAGACACCGTTACGAGAATTTCTTAATGCATTCAAAGTGAAACAAACACCAATTACCGGATAAAAGTTTATCAACGGTTGTACTAAGCCGCGTGTTATGCTCCTCGTTCATTTTAAGTCGTTGATTGACACGCATCACTTCTGCGTTCTTTTCCTCCAATTGTGTTTCTAATCTCTGAATTCTGTCCTCCGCACTGCCGTGCCTTTCTTGAGCCTGCTTATTAAATAATGCATATAATTAATATTACTGTTTTGGATGAGAAATCGAACGCTATGTAGATGATTTAATTATCTTTCCTTCGACATGAACTTAAAAACTATTTCAGGTTCTGAACGTAGAAGACGAGACGAATCTAGTTTAGTCTAACTTAGTGAATAATGTACACGTGCCTTGTACACAGTAGTCTAAAGAAATGTGACCAGAAAAATGAAACGATAAAGTACTAACAAGCTCGAAAAAATAATCACATCGATTGCGTTTGTTTGGTATATTCAGTGTTAGATTGAAATTGGATGGATTATATTCCCTGACACGAGAGAATTGTACGAATGCCAACATTACCTTCTCTGAACGAGCCCTTAGCTGTTTATACGAGTTTATAAAGACTGTAATAAAAGGCTGAGTAGTGTTTGTTGTTTGCATGGCAGACAAAAGTCGGGTACTGCGTGAACAGTGATAGAATATATAATATGCAACAAGAAGAACACACCGCAGAGAATTCGGACGTGTGAATTAAAGAGTAGAGAGAATCGTATATTTGAGTGGCAAGCAGTCTAGATAGAGATATATATGTATGAATATATATGTATTTAGGGAGAGTTGACAGAAGTGCAGAGGAATAAAAAAAGGACAAATTGATGATGCAACGATTTGATTCCCCTGCGTACCTGGTTGGGCCTCCTCACCTGCGTCAGAGCCTCCATCCTCTGCTTTAATTGCTCTTCCATTTCGGGGAGCTTGGAATACTGGGCCAATTTCTGTTCTGCCAGTTCCAGTTTTTCCTGTATAGCTGCTATCTTTTCTTCTTGGAGCTGAAAAACGTTAAAATCAATGAAGAATTTTGATTTAAAAATTGACCTAAGCTTCAACAACTGTACAGTAGTTAGAGATACCTTTAATTGGGCCTTCTTGTGCTGCAGCTCCTGTTCCAATTTCTCGTTAAGATCGTGGCTACTGGAGGACTCTCGTTGAGACTGGAGATACCGTTTTTCAAGGGTCGCTATCCTTTCCTCCTGATCCACTTTCTGTGCGACATTCTCATGCAAATCTCTCTGCAATTTCACATTCGTCTCTTGGGTCTTCAGCAAATCTTTCTGTGCTTTCGATAAGGTTTCCTCCAACTCAGCCACGCGTCCAATTAATTCAGCCACCCGTCGTTGCCACGTGCTCAACTCTGAGCTCTAAAATAAGGGTTTTATTCGGTTATTATTAATTGTTTATCCGCATCTCTGACTATAAGTTGTATGCTTGTAATAAGAGTATGGTGTTATCCATATCAAGGACAAATACACAGCTACCACATAGTCTGTAATGAGACAAAATCTTTCGTCGTTTGTCCCTGAGTCGTGTGAGACTCTGCCATACGACAAAACGTCTATCATAGACACACTATATTCTGTCATAGATTGTATATGTGTTAACGTTGTTTAGTATTGGTATTGTGTTCGTCTACAATTGTTACAACCAAGCTGTTCATACAAAGATATCTGTACGGGATAGAGATCCATTCTTAGTTCACTAAAAACCATGCGAAACACGTCGAACACCCTCGCCATAGTCATTCCACACATGCCATGGAATGGCACAACAACGGGACAGACATAGTTGTGCAAAACACGACGTCGTAAAATCTGTTGTGGTGTCTGTCGACTAATCTGTTACGAAACAGTTGTCTCGCAGGTGCATTTATAAAGGTTCTATCAGAGTTATAGATTCAGACTATTCAAGTATCCTTGAAACACGTTGCAGGGTCTTCGTCCATGCACCGTAAGTAAATGCAAAACGCATAGGAAAGTTTCTATTCGTCCAATACCAAAACGCTTCGGCAAACTTGTGTCGTTCAAAAACACATGCAAAGGAGAGGGGACGGGGGAAGTTTGTTCCCAGAGTCGAGTACAGTATTCCCTCGTTTTCTGAGGCACAGTTGAGAAACAGAAATAAAGCGCTTCTTCCTGTTTGTCAACAGGCCCAGAAAATACCAACACGGATCAGGTATGGGACTTAAACAACGGTCAAGCGACACACTCTCATAAGGAATTAGTGAAGTCCATCCTACTCGCGTCTACAACACTTCTCATTCTCCACTGCCAAGCTGGGATCTTGAAAACATTCGACAATTAGCTACCTATAATCAACCATTGGTTTCCTTGCTCTGTTAATGTTCTAAGAGTCCAGCTAGGCAATTGGGGGTTCAAATAACCTTCATCGAAGATCTACCTGGATCTCCCTAAAAGGCTGATCATACGTACGCAGATCGTTTTCACTCGGATTGACTGTTGCCATACCTGCTTGTCAACGGTAGCTTGCAAATCAATTACTCTCGCCGTAGAGTCCTGGTCCGCCGGGTCCAGACTGCCATTGCTCAGTCTACTGCCGATTTCAGCCGACCTCTCGCTACCTAGCTTTTGTATCGACTGCGGCTGTGGTTGCTGTTGCTGTTGTTGCGGCTGCTGTTGTTGTTGTTGGTGTTCTTGCTGGCCTGCCGCCTGCTCAGTCTCATTCTGCCCGATCACAACACTACATTCAGAATGCCTCGCTCGCATTGCCTGACCTGCATCGCCGCGCGATCTCCCAACTACTAGCTAAACAGCTACGCGACTAAGCCACTACCGTGCACTAACTGCAGACGCACTCTTATGGATGCGAACGATCGAGGTGATTGACGAGCACACGTGGCACAGCCAAACTCTGGCGTCGATCGGTACAGATTCGCGCTCTGCGATGATATAAAATGTTGAGCAAGATACTCGTGCAGCCTCAGCATAATCTTTACATATTAGGAATCTCCTGCGAGCTCCGATATCACCAATAATGGTTTTAGCAATTGTGCAGGCAACCAAAATGTATAAATTCTCTTCGTCTTTGTGTATTAGTAATTCTCTTCGTCTTTTCATATTCGCTACACGAAAACCTTGGTCTCTTGATTTATGTGATTCTGAATACGTCATGATTACAGTCCTAATAAAAATTTGATCCTCTCTGTGTCAAGGTAGCACACTATGCTCAAATGATTACATAAAGAGATTGTATAATTGTCGTTGGGAAATCAATGTTTCACGCGTTACATGCTGATTCAAATATATTTAGATTTAATTTTATTTACATACAGAGAGGATCAAGAAGAAGGCTTTTCCTCGATGAATCGTTAAATGAATTGACGCAACTGGATTTGGTGACACGCGAATGATCGAACGGCTTCCAGGATCTCTCGAGAGGGCTAAAATCTGTGACCAATGACTAGATCGATCGATAACCAACGGCGAGATTAGAAGCGTGTATAGTCTATCGCAGAGAGAACGATAGGGTGTCGCATCGGAACGAAAGTTTTATCGCCAGCGTGAAGATACGCTTGGATCATATCAAAAACCATGAGCATGCACAGTGAACAAAAAATGAAAATCATAAAAGAGGTCGCATGGATGCAGCTTTCACGACGCTCAAACACGTGGAACACCTTTTCTCATGTATCCATGATGATTGTGAAGTATGAGGGGGCAGTGTGTGTAAGAGATTCTGTGAGTGCGATTATGCATGGGTGGTGGTGTGCGGTATATCGTATCCACGTTTCTCGGCTACCTTGTTCTGTTGCTGGCTGTCTTCCGTCTGCCCGTTTTCCTTCGGCCTGTCCTCGATGGCCTTAGGCGCGTGTCCACTCATTATGTATTGCTGGAGCTGCGGTTGAAGACATTTAAACGATCAATATCGTCCGCAGTTCGATCATCGTACCTCAACCATCGTCGGACCGGTCCGACAATAACAAATGGACTGCAGATTTTTAGGCATCATCTAATCAACTTAAATCAAAGGCTGGATTGGCACTCAACCCTCATTTTGGTCTCCACAGAACGGCTAATAAAAATCCGCAGTCTCGTGACGATACTTAAGGAAAGCAGTACCTCCTCTTTGGTAATGGCTAGTTCCTCCTCCAGGCTCTTGTTCCTCTCCTGTGCCACCCGCAGACGGTCCCGCACCTGAAAATTGGTCGCCGGTTATTAAAGGGGATTTTAATGAACCTATTATCTCGCATCTTAGCAGCCGCCGAGACTGTTCCACGTTTAACCCTAAAACCCAGGATTCGCGTAGCTCAACCTCTGTTTCGCGTTCGTCTACCCTTGCAATTAGCGTCTAGGTCCTCCAGATGCTCGAGTGCGATCTGGCGAGTCATCTTGGAAGGAACTTGGGGTTATCAACTCGCTCGAAATTAGGGTTCTACGAGTAAGAAGAGGACTCCTCTTCCGGTCCCCGCAGAAATCGGGGCAAATTTTTTGATTTAAAAGCATCGAGACCTTGAGATGTAATCGACCGGGGGTAATCTACGCGAGCCGATCGATTCAGGGTTATCGGAATCGTTCTCCATCTGCCGCCAAGGTTGGAGTCGTCAAACAATAGATCAGAAGTTCTTACTTTCTCGTCCAGAGCCTTGTGGTGCTCGAACAGACTTTTCAGTGCCTTAAGCACCTCGGCTTCGGACGATACTCCAGATTGAGCGGCCGCCTGCCTCTTCACCACAGTCATCCTGAGGGATCGTTCGTGCCGCGAGACCAGGCATTCCAGATGTTCCAGCAGAAGCTGCGGAAATCAACAGAGGAACGGTCGTCACAATGAGCAATATCGCGGGAACAAGCGGCCGCATTCAAACTCTAAAAAGTATTAGAGAGACGACGGCGACGGTGACGTTGTGCTCTACGTACACGAGTATTATTCCGCTCCGCTTTCAGCTCCGATATCTCCTCGTCCCTCGCGAGGATGCCCTCACGGGCCGCTGCGAGCTCCTTTGTTAGCTGAGAGAACTCCTGAAATCAGAAACGGAGCATCTTTCACCATACGCCTCGGGAACGCGTCTCGAGTATTAACCCTTGTGCAACCGTTTTCACCGTTTCGCCCTTCCACGATTTATGCAAACATATTTGTTCATACATTTCGACCAACTGCACAAGAGTTCAATCGAGAATTATCCTATCGTTCCGCTCAAAAAGATTCATCTTTTTATTTAATTTAAACTTATTAACATCGTAAAGACCCTTTTAGTATTCGATAGCTTTAGCGTTAATTAAAAGAGAAATAGCCAGAAACTATCGGACACTCTATGAATCTTACGTTCGAAACGTTTCAAAGACAAAGACCGCAGAGAGCCCGGTGATTCGATAACCAGGAATCAAAGAGGAATCAGCTTCGACCAAAGACGATCGGTTCGACGAGCCTGCGTCTACGTTAACATCAGCTTGCAAGTCGCGGAAATATTTTAGGCTACCGATCGCCGGGGAACTGCGACACAAAGTTCGCCCCTCCGGGAAGTTGCACTTTCATCTTCGTACACGTTACTTCCGCTCGACATTCCAGCTGAATGTTGTACATTTATTTATAAGCGCCGCTGATCGATACCGGGCTCCGCCGTTGGAAAACAACACAGCCCTGGATCCACCCTTTAAAGGATAACAACGCGGCGTGCTCTCTCTTTCCGAAAATCATCCGGAAAATTCGGGAGGACTGAATTCCAGTTTCCGATTTCCCATCCTATGGATCTCGAGACTCAGAGTTTGGTAGCTAGCTTCGTAAAGGACGATTTATAGAAGGTTTTTCAGCAAAAGACGGGCAAAAAGAAAAAGAGACAGAGCTCTGTTTTTCCGTGCATCGTAAGCACTCGGTGGCTGCAATTTCCGCGAGACTCGAAACGGAGAGCTGGAAACACCGCGAATGGGTTAAAAATTGACCGATTAACGTCGATTACAGGGAGAAACGGTTCCGTTTACACCGGGGCACGGAGCCGGAGGCTTTTAAGCCGGGCCGGATATCGTTCCCTCGGAGGAGCGGAGGAATATCGACGGTGCTCGCAAAGAACTCATTATCCCGGAAGAGGCTGATTAATTACAGACGGCGGGGGAATCCTATTAACTCATCGACGAGAGCGAGAGAGCCGCGAGGCGAGATTGTCGGGAAATACAGCCGGGGGACCGGGGCTACACGAAGAAGGAGGGTCCCGATTTAAATAACAAGTTCCAGAATCTTAATTATTTCGGCCGCGACTCCTCAGATCTTCGAACACGAACGAGAGAAATCCGCAGATTGCTCCTGTATGCACACGCTTCGAGGAACAATTCTCGCGGAGCAATCTGTGGCCGAATATCGGAGAGCGGTGGCCCCGATCAATTTTGCAAGATTAATTTGCATGTAACAAAGTTTCTCACGAGCCCGGTATCAATTTGCCAGGGAGCGCGTGGGAATCTTGCCGGATTAACGGGCCGAACGTTCGATCGCCGGTAACGAATTAATGATTTGTTATTGTACACCCGGTGAACGCGGAACACAAGCCGGCCCCCCATTCAACGTTCATCGCCGCCGATTAGTAAGGAGAAACTAATCCCGTTGAATGGTAATCTATAGTCTAGAGGACGACTCCGCGCGTGTGTTTCAACGAATAAAGTGAGAGGGAGCAACAAAAGCCGCGTTAACGGTACACCATTGTACAATTTCGAGGAAATTAACGACGCCAGTAGCGCATCCCGCTCACTTTGTCTAATTGTGAGCGCCGATTCGTCGCCAAGCTTTCCGCAACGATGAAGCTCGTCAAATGCGCTCAATAGGAAAACCGGTCCCCCAATCGATATCTCGTCGTAAGCTTTCTTACGGCGCACGTCGAATTTCTCTATCGTCCCTGACGCTGTTTAATTAATACCATTTTACACAATTAATATCGTACTCGGATCGAGGTTGAACATTGGGTTGCCGCTAAAGTTTCCATCGTGGTAGCGCGTTCGATGACTTTTCGATTGGATCAACGTACGCAAGTAACGCAATTATTATTTTGTTAACGTTTAATCAGTTAGCTGTTCTCAGCGAGTATACTCGTATACTCGTACAATTACTGTGTAACTGATTGATATTCTTTATTAAATTATATACTTTTAAAAAAGTGTTGTGTTTAAGCAAAATATGAGACAACTCAAACATTTACAATATAATTACGGTAATTATAATAATTACAATAATACAGTAATTACAATAATTATTTCTCAAAAGGATCGTAACTGTTTCATTCGCATCGTTCGTTTGCTCGACACTAAATCTAACGAGCAGCTAAAAATGATCACGGCGCTCCACAAAGATGACAAAAATTCATTGAGACTTCTCGGCATTTTTATCGGAACGTGTGCTCGATCACCAAGTAAAAAAATGTGTCGCCGATCACGTCGATCGGCTGGGTAGGTTCAGTGTTATTAAATTCATCAGTGTGTCGAAAGTAAATTCGCATTGTCGAAACGAACCGAATTTTTGGGACAAATTCCAAATTCTGTTCGAGGGATTGCTATCTGCTGGATAGGGGGGAAAAAAAGGAGCGGGCGGAATTTGAATTCTCTGGTGAATTAATGGCGACGGAGGTTCCCAGATAACGACGTGGCGTCGTTAATTGCTGTTCCGCCAGTGGAAATACGTGTCCGGCGATATTTCCCACGGGAAAAAAATTCCTTTTAATTGCCGGCGCGGGTTTCTTTCGGCTACTTGTTGCGCACGAAAGAAAATTATCGAACAAATAACGCGTCGGTCTACCGCGATGATCTCCGGCGAGATGCTTCCCGCTTAATCACTTCGATTTAGATCGGCCTTGGCAATAGAACCTCGTGGAATCGATCACGCGCACGACCGAGCACAGCCGTGCCGACGCGTTCGAACAAATTTCGCAGGTAAAAATAACATTATATCCCCCTCCCCCCTCTCTGCCGGCCAAACAAATTGATTCGCTAGAGCGTCGGGGACCTCATATACATGTTAATCGATCGGAAGTAATTAACGCCGCAGTTAAATATTTATTCTGTAGTAATACAACGTTGTCGAGAGCGGAGACCGTAGGCGTTACGATTCACGCGAACGTTCAATTAAAATTTCGTGAATGACCGCCGTGCGCGAGCGAAAAAGGTGTGCGCGGCTCGATGTTTACCAACTCGTTGCTCCCAATCGAATTAATCGTTCCCAATAAAATTGTTCGGCTTGTTAACCCTGACCAGTTTTTATTTTTCCTGTAACCGCGACGCGTTAGCGGGGCACAATATTAATGCCGCGGAGATAAACGCTGACTCTCGGCGGACAGCTCACACTGATAAAGCGAACGGTCGACTCGATCCAGGAAATTATAGAAGTTGCATAATTCTCTTTTCCGGGTTATAAAAAAAAAGAAAATAAAAGAGAACAGCAGAAACAACGGAATTGGTAAGGCGAGATTATTTTACTGGGAAGGAATTTTTGCGGTTCCAGGGATGCTAAATCGCAGACGGCTGGAGGGGGGAGGAGGGGCGTATCGATTGCGTGGGCGAAGTCACGATGTCATCGAAACGGCATCGGAACAAGCGATAATTTCCACGCGATATCGATCGCCGGCTCGCCCGCGAGCGCGATGCGTACGTAAGATGGGATTTAAACTCGCGTGCGGACATGCAGTTTGCGCCTACGGTGCAACGGACTGTGAGAGTTATGCAGCTGCAGTTCGTTAGAAGTGCACGACCCCTGGCCGGCGTGGATTGAGATATTGAAATTCGCGTTCCCGCCGGAGGGGGAAACGGACGAGCCTCTGTTTCCTGAAAACAAATTGCAGCCGCGATCCGAAAGATTTGTGGAGATCGACTCACTTCTACGGCGGACTTCTTTCCCGGTATCGCCTCTAATCGCGATTCGATTCATTTAACCAACAACTCCCGTGCCTCTCCGGCAACAAGCGTTTCATTGAACAAATTTCTATCGTGCTTCTACGATTCCCACGACGATCGCGTTCGCGATTTTGACCATTTTCTGCTTGGGAAGTTTGGTACGCGCGTTCTCTCCGCGAAACGTTCCGCGATTAGGATTCTTTTCCCCGGTATCCGTGCGACCGGAATTCGATAGTCTGCACCGGACAGTTAAAATATCATCAACAGTTCGGTTGGATTCTTTCTATCAATTAGAAAGTACAGAGGATAGTCCATTCGTAATATTATTCGATTCGCGACGGTGCCCCGTTTCTCCTGTAGCGTTACGACCCGGCGTGCACCACGTTCCTACAAGAGGGTCAACAATTATCAGCAATTGGCCGACGTGAAAACTCTTACCGATTACGCGATTATCCAGTTAGCCTTGCGGTCGAGAGGTTCCCGCGGAACGGGCCGATCGTTTGGGCTTAATTCCCCCGCGCTCGACCGTGGAAAATAATTAGACCCGACCGTGCCGGCTCGCTAATTAACCGGTTGTCTAGTTGCACGTCCTATTTTCGGGCCGGCTCGCCGCTTATCACTCGCCACCGTTCATTCATTTATCTCTATCGTTCCATTTTTCAACGTCCGCCGACCGGCCGTGCCGAGAACGAGAATAGCGTTTGCGAAAGACGCCTCCTTCTCCTCCTCCACCTCCTCCTCGGATCGCATTAGCTCGTTGACCGGCAGCCTGCTCGGCCGATTATTGTTATCAATTCAAGAGAGAGAGAGAGAGAGAGAGAGAGAGAGAGAGAGAGATTCGATCCGACCTAATAAATATTCTTTCTTGAACCACTGACCTCGGAATAAAAAGCAGGTCGTGGAACTGTACCAATGCCCCCTTCGTCTTCCTCCTCTGCTGATCCATCTTTATACAACGTTACGTTGCAATCGTATATTTGCATTTTCAATCGATATTTCCATCCAGCCGTTACTGCACGGAGAAGAATAAACACGTTGCTGTCGAATTATTCGATCGATTTGTCCCACCGGGCCATTCGTCTGGCTCTAAAGGAGTCGAGAGCAACCAGGCCACGCCTACTCGGCGCTGGCCACGCCTACACTACGTTGTTGCCGTC